GTATTCAAAGTGGTTAGGATGGATATATAGTTGCATTCTCTTAATGAATAGAATGATTTGTTCTAATGGTGTTTATAAATAGGATCACAAGTCCGCATCTTGTACAGCAATTAACCACTAAGAAGAATATATGCAGTGTATTATTTGTTGACACTGTACTTCTGATTTGATTTGAAACTGTCTCATTGCTATCTGTTTATCAATAAAACTTTGAAAAAAAATGTGAAGGCACACAGCTCCAAAGCCTAGAAGTATGAAAACAAATGTATATGGACCTCGTTTACATACAGTTTCAAGCAAACTAGTTATAAAACATTTGGTGGATAATTGAGATTGTATCATGGAGTTGGAAATACCAAATAGCACCAAAATTGTTATTATGTAAGAAAATATCCTAATATCTTAAGAAAAGGGTATCATGAGGAGGGGCAAAATGGCAGCAAAAATCTTGATAAATAGATGACAGCTATTACTGTACTGTTTCCTCTACCTTTACATTTTAAAATGCTCATAGTGCTAATCAAAAGGTGAAAGCAGTTCATCTGTTCATGAGAGGATAAATGGATGAGCAAAATCTGTTGATGGTGGTTTAACTTGAAAATTTTTGATGCAGTGCATAAACATGACAAACTACATAAAGCTGAGATAATACGTCTTTCTACTCAGAACCTTAGTCTTACACTCCCTCTTTGTAGAAATAAACCACGGTTACCAGATTGTTGTGATTTTGTGGAACTGTCTATAAAATGAAAATAATTTCACCTACCTCAATAAAATTGTTCTGATTAAATCTCTTTAGTTTATGAAAGCTCATAGAACAGTACTCAAGAGACTTTTTTTTTTTTTTTTTTTTACGACAGGGCCTCACTATGTAATTGTCTGGCCTTCAACACATTACAAAGCCCTGGCTGGCTAATAACACTAATTATGCCACTCTCAGTGGACCTCTTGCCTTAGCCTCCTGGGTGCTGGGATTACAGGCATGTGCTTCACAGGTGGCATCAACAGATTAATGCTACTAATACCTTTCCAGTGACAATCTCTGCAATATAGAACTATTTGCATGTTTTACTTTTGCTTTTGTTTTTTGAGACAGGGTCTTACTCTGTAATGTTGGCTGGTCTAGAATTCACTGTATAGCTCAGGCTGGCCTTAAACTCATGGAGAGACTCCTATCTCAGTCTCCCTAGTGCTGGAATAACAGGTGTGTGCCACTATGCCCAGTTTACATGGGTTTTTTAAAAATGTATGTATTATCAGGGGCCAGGGAGATGGCTCAGTAGAATAAGCGCTTCCCTGGCAAGTGTAAGGGCCTGAGTTCGATCCCTGATTCTGCCAAAAAATAAAATATATGTATTAGCACACTAGATATACTTTACTATAACTTGCTTTTATGTGTGTGTGTGTGTGTGTCCTGGAGATTATCCCATATCAATAGCTATCGATAATTCTCATTTCTTTAAAAGGCCACATAATATTCTATTGTATATGTGTACCTTAGTTTTAAAGCTGAGCTGTGAAGATGGCTTTTTAGGTTATTTCCAATGTTTTGCTTCTCTGAACAATGCTGCAGTAACCAGATATTTGCCAGCATAACTTATATTTATTGGGTAAATTCCCAGAAACAACTGTATCAAAGGGTACATACATTTTTTTATTTTAATAGATGCTGCCAAATCACCTTTCAAACAGGAAGTACCTGTGTGCACCAGACACCAAAGTATGAGAGTTTCTATTTCCCTGTGCCCTTGATCTTATAGCAACCTTGTTCAAGCCATGGAAATAAAAACAAACAAAAAATCATTAATCCACAGTCTAATGATGCAATTAATTTATAAAAATTGCTTTAGCAGACTAAAGTGCCTCCTTAGGCAAGCACAGGGACCTTGGTTTGATCCTCTGCACCACCTGTCATGCCAGCCCTGCCCTGGGGGTGAGCTGAGCCTGCCAGAGTCCAGATGTAGTGGTGCACACCTGTAATCCCAATACTGGAGAGGCTGAATGCAGGAGGATCGCCAAGAGTCTGAGCTGTGTAATGAGAACCTGCAACAACCAAATACATTAAAAAAGGGGGGGAGCTGGGGAGATAGCTCAGTAGAATAAGTACTTGCCTGGCAAGCGCAAGGTCCTGAGTTCAATCCCAGGTACCACCAAAAAAAAGCTTCCTACTCAAGAGTTGATTCAACAGTCATGTTTGTGTCCTAGGTCTCTGCAAAGCCAACCTGTCTAATTATTCAGATTCTGTGCCAACTGTAAATTGTAACACCACCAACCAGTTATCCAAACCGCTATCTGGAAGAATAGGAAAGGAAAGGAAAATAATTGATTCAGACTGTTTCACTTAAAAATTCTGTTTTGCTTTAGGAGAAAAATTTGAACATTTCTTAGGTTAACTGTGTACTCTTCTATGTTTAAATCATTACAATGAATGGCCTCCACAAAAAGCTGATACAGTGTTTGAACCCAGTGGAATAAGAATCTCTCAGTAACAGACCTGAAGGCCCAAATTAATCCAGTTCAGAATGGCTTTTACATTTGTTTTTGTTGTTTGTTGTTTATTTAATTTATTTATTTATTTTGGCAGAACCAGGGATTGAACGCAGGCCCTTGTGCTCGCCAGGCAAGTGCTTATTCTACTGAGCCATCTCCCTGGCCTTGTTTATTTTTGAGGGAGAGTCTCACTTATGTAGTGCAGACTGGCCTTGAACTCACTTATGTAGTCCAGGCTGGTCTCATACCCATGGTAGTTCTCCTGCTTCAGCCTCCTGAGTGCTGGGATTACATGTGTGCACCACCACAACTGGTGTTTACATGTTAGGGAGTACATGCCCCAAGGGCTACATAGTGAGTTCAAGGCCAGTCTGAGCTACATAGAGAGGCCTTGTTGTAAATATATATATGATAAGGCTAGCCAGATACATCAGCCAACTAACGCATCTACTTAGGCAGGCTCAGTGACCAGGATTTGATCCCCAGCATGCCATGCTGGCCCTGCCTCCAATGCATGCTGAGATGGCAACTGAGACTGGGCATGGTGGCACGCACCTGTAATCCCAGCTCTCGGGAGGCTGAACACAGGAGGATCACTATGAGTCCAAACCGTGTAGTGAGACACTGTAGACCCTGTACTAAATACAGAGAGCTAGAAAGAGAGAAAGAAAGAAAGAAAGAAAGAAAGAAAGAAAGAAAGAAAGAAAGATGGAGATGGGGATATTTCCATTAAGTACTAATCTTTAGAAATAAGAACATTTCACACAGCTCAGGCTAAAGAAGGCAGAATAGGATGGGAACTACTCTTGCTATCTCCCAGGCCTATGGAAGAAAGCAAGCTGGTTTTCTATAGTCCCCACGGAACAGTTCTTCACTAGGACTTCATACAAATAGCAAGCATCTGTGTGTTATTTTGCAATCAAAAAGCACTTTTAAGCACATTACCACAATTTGAGGCTCACTAACTGTCTATAAAGCAGCTGCAGATCAGAAATATTTATCAGTTTTATAGAAAAAAAGTGATGTAACCAGTCTAAGCCCAGCAGCAGGAAGTGTTAAAATCGAATCTTGAAACCATATCTTGAGCCAATATTTTACAATTCCCATATGCCCACACAATTTGCATTTTATTCTTACACCTAATTTGTTGCCTAGGGGCCTGGGAAATAGCTTAGTAGAATAAGTGCTTGCCTGGCAAGTGCAAGGGCCTGAGTTCAATCCCCAGTTCCACCAAAAAAAAAAAAAAAAAAAAAATTAAAAAATTGTTGGCTGGGCCAGGTGTGGTGGTGTACACCTTGTGACCCCATCACTGGGAGGCTGAAGCAGGAGAATTGTTGGGGCTACAAGTCAGTTCACGGCCAGCCTGAACTGCACAGTGAGACCCTGTCTCAAAAAACAAAACAATGTAAAACAATTATTTTCTGTTCTTACATTTAATTTGTGTATATTGGGTCTATCAGTAAATACAAAGAAAATGAAGTAAAGTACTACTCTGGCTTTGGAATATATATATATATATATATATATATATTTTTTTTTTTTTTTTGTGGTACCAGGGATTGAACTCAGAACCTTGTGCTTGCCAGGCAAGCACTTATTCTACAGGGCTATCTCCCAAGCCCAGAAATCAATATATATTGATCAAGAGAGTCTGCAAGAACAACAAAAAGGAGTTTTAGTTGTATTAATAATACTTATTATCATCGGGCCAGGGAGATGGCTCAGTAGGATAAGTGCTTGCCTGGCAAACGCAAGGATCTGAGTTCAATCCCCAGTTCCGCAAAAAAAAAAAAAAAAAAAAAACAACCTTATCATCACTATAATAATCCTAAAAAATTCATTTTTCCTTAAATGAATTTAAAGGTATAAAGACTAATAGCTCTAAGGGCTGGTGAGATGGCTCAGTGGTCTAAAGCACCTTAGAACAATCTAAGTTAAGCAAAGCACAGGGACCGCGGTTCAATTCCCCAGCACTACATGCCAGCCAGCCCCGCCCCCTGGTGGGCTGAGCTGGCCACACACACTAAATAAACAAATAAAATTAAAAAAAAGACTAATAGCTCTAGGTTTTAAGTATAAATTCTAAAGCTTAAATTGTGTCCTTTAAAATGTAAGATTCTTATCAAAACTTTAGGAATCTGGCCCAAGGATAAATATATAGGTAGATGGAATAGAACTGTGAACCCAGAAATAAACCATACATTTACGGGTCATTGATTTTTAAATTTTATCTTATTTTATTTCATTTTTTGAAACAGGGTCTCACCATGTAGTTCAGGCAGGTCTTGAACGCACTATGTAGCTCAGGCAAGCCACAAACTTTGTGTGGTCATCCTGCCTCAGCCTCCTAAGTGCTGAGATTACAGGTGTGTGCCACCATGCCCAATGGATAATTGACTTTAAACAAGGATATCAAGAGAATTCAGTGGGGAAAGGAAGTCTGTTTAACAAATGATGCTGGGGGAAAGCTGAATAACCATATACAAAACTAAAATCAGAATGGGCCAAAGATCTAAATGTAAGAGCCAAAATTATGAAACTCTTCAAAGAAGTAATAGGTGAAAATATTCACATCTAAGTCCTAATTTGTTTGATATGACACTCAAATCACAAATAAGCAAAGAAAAGTAAATTGAATTTCATATAAATAAAAAACTTTGGTGCTTCAAACAGTATCAAGAAAGTGAATACATATAGCACACAGAAAAAGTTTATAAATCACATACCTGACTAGTATCTAGATTCCATAAAAAAACTGTTCCAACACAGGAATAAAAAGACAACCTGATTTTAAAATGGACAAAAGATTCCATTCTCCAAATGGAAAACAGTAAGTACATGAAAATATATGCAATTCAAATCAAAATCACAATTATTCAATACTTGAGAGGCAGAGGCAGGAGGATTGCAATGAATTTGAGGCCAGTCTGGGCTATACACTGAGTTCAAGACCAGCCTGAACTACATTGTGAGACTGTTTCAAAAAAATTTACAATTGTATGTAATTTTTTTTAATAAGTAACTTTATATGCACTTGGGTAGCTATAGTGAAAAAGAAAATAATACCCGGGCATGGTAGTGCACCCTTGTTTTCCCAGCACTTGGGAGGAGGAGGCAGAGAATCACCACAAATTTGAGACCAGCCTAGGTTACATAGTCAGTTCAAGGTCAGCAAGACCTTATCTAAAATAAAATAAAAGTAGTAGGATTTGGAGAAATTGAAATGGTCATACACTTCAGGTAGACTACAAACTAGTATATCCACTTTGGAAAACAGTGTAGTAATTCCTTAAAATGCTAAACAAGATTACCATATGACCCAAAGTTTTACCCTTAGATAAATGAAGTACTGATACACACTAGCATAAATAACCCTTGAAAACATTATACTAAGTAAAAGAAGCCAGACACAAAAGGTTCCATATTATGTTACCCATTTATATAAAATGTCCAGAATAGGCAAAAGTAGACTAGCAGTTGCCAGGAGCTTGGGTAAGGAAGAATGGGAACTTACTGCTAATGGTATGTGAGTTCTTGGAGTAGTGAAAATGTTCTTGAATTAGATGGTGGTAGCAGTTACCATTTGTCTCCTAAATACCCCAGCAAGGCCATATAATGAAGGCTTGGTCCACACCCTTGGAGCTATGCGAAGGTGATAAATAGATCCTTTAAAAGGTGGAGGCTATGGGGCCTGGGGAGATGGCTCAGTAGAATAAAAAGCTTGCCTGGCAAGCACAAGGGCCTGAGTTCAATCCCCAGTTCCGCCAAAAAACCCAAGCCAAACCAAACAAAAAACCAATGCAACAACGCCTATGATAGAAGAGGGCAGAAAATACATTAAGATTCATTTTACATCTTGGGAAGCTGAGGCTCAAAATAGGTAAGTGACTTGCCCAAAGACTCGACTCATTAATGGCACAGCTGGGAACTCAAACCTGATCTTCTAATATCAGATCTCATCTTTTTCCAAGTAGGCGACGTTAGAGGCAGGTGCTGGCATTCTACAAGAAGACAAGGGCGAGACGAAGGAAGGGAAGCCAACAAGCAAAGAATGAAGAGGATTTTGATGGGAGAAAGTGTTTTAGAAGTGAGTCCAGACACTCTCAATCGCCCCAAATGCCTCTTAAGTAGAAACAATGATCACAAGTCATCCTGGGTCTACCAACTTCTGCTATTTTGTGAGTCAACCATCGTGCTGGAGAAATACATGTTTAAAAGATGTCTAAGGATGTTTCTGAGGTTCTGACAGCCAAATTTAGTCCCTCCCACAGAGGCCTTAGCCCCTTTATCGGCCACACTGAATGTCTTAGGGGGTGAAAAACCCTGGCAGTGTGAAGGAGAGAAAAGAGGGTTTGCGCTGGGTGGGGGCGGTGCCAAGGTTAGGCTAAGGTCAGGGGGAGTTTGCGGCGGAGCTGTGGTTAGGGGCATGTGGCTTTTGTGGCTGAATACCATGGTGGGGTAGGAAACCAGGATCGGAGCTGATAGTCAGGGTGGAGTTCACATACCCAGGTACGTTTTGGGACCGAAGGCCCTGAAAGCGCCAGAGAAAGACCCAGGCGGGCGCAAGGTTAGGTGGTCTCGGGCAGAGGATGCAGGCTTCCTGAAGTCCCGCCTCCCCGGGCCCTTGGCCACAAGCCCCGCCCACAGCGCCAGGCACGCGCGCCTTGGGGGCGGGGTGGGGGACCGGGCTGGGGAGGGGGAAGGGGGAGAGGTGAGACTCGTGCACGCGCCTCACTCGCTGCCGGTGCGCGAGCAGCGCGCTCCCGCCACCCGCGTCGCCATCTTTTTCCCCCTCCGTCCGTCTGTCTGCCTTTGGCTTTGTCCGTCTGCAGCGCCGCCCCTCAGCTCCTCGCCACCGGCTTGGCCCGGAGCCCCCTCCGCCCACCAAGGCCGGGTCCCGGAGAGCTCCGGCCTGGCTGGTCTGAGCTGCAGCGCGGCGCCCATTGTCCGGCGGTCCGTCTGTCCGGAGGCGGGGCCCAGGGACCCTGAGGCAGCGCCGCGCCAAGGCGCCGGGTAAAGACACCCTCGCGTCTTTCCTCTGGGCTAGGCCGAGGATGCGGAGGCTTCTTGGCCGCTCTGGGTCGCCGGCTGCCGGTCCTTTTGTCTGTCCGTGTCTGGGGAGGGGGCGGGGGTAGCCGGGGCTCAGCCCTCCCCAAGGACAGCGCCCTCCCCGAGCTCCGGTCCTGCGGTTCCTTTGCTGCCCCTGGAGACCCGGGCGCGGAGTCCGCGCGGCCGCCCTCCTCGCGTGGGCCCGGGCCGGGTGCAGCCTGGACGGCCCAGCGTCTGACAGTCTTGGGTGGCGCTGGGGGAGGGGAGGATGGGCGTGGGAGAGTGGGCCAGGGTCTCTATAGCCGCTGGGTCTGGCAGAAGAGCGTCTAAATTTAGATTTTGCAGAGGACTGTTGTCTGAGCGTTTGTCTGAGCCTCCTCCGAAGACCTCTGGCTCTCTGTAATTCCTGGGAATTTACCTGTGTCCGTGCTTGACAAACCCAGAAGGAACATCTCAGTTGACTGGACACACACTCCAGAGCCGACCCAGGGGGAAGGAGAGTTGGGGGCAGGGGAGCGACTGCGTGACCAGCTTTATTGTCCTCTTGTTTTTGGCAGATGCAAATCACTTGTATTCAAGCGAGTTTACTTTGCTCCGTGGGAACTGCAACAAAGCTGGAGGTGGGAGTGCACCCTCTTTTTACGGCTGCCTTTGATCCAGCTTTTTTTTTTTTCCTGCTAAAGTCTGTGGTGCACCCTAGAAGCTGCAACCTAACACCTATAGGAGACCAGAGATGGTGATAAGGGGAGGTGTGGCACCCTCCCAAGGACTCTGGACTTAGCTCTGTAGACAAGAGTTGCTTCCTTTTTAAACAGAATTTCTGTGGACCTGAACCTCAGCTTATCTTTCCTCTCCATCCGTTTCCTTCTGGATGGTGATGTTCATGCAGCTGTCAGTTTATATTTTTGGTTTAGTTTCAGATGTCGGCTTGGAAACTGAGGCAGTGCTGAAAGTGAAACAGTGACCTCCGGCAATGTGTCAGTTTTATTAGCCTTTTCCAGCTATAAAAGAGTTGTCTAACCTCTGAACCTTTACTGTGTGGTCATGAGTATCCCTTCAGTGCCATTTACTTCCTTATTTTCAGGAGTCCAGGAGGCTGGGGATATGGCTCAGTGGAATAAGCACTTCCCTGGCAAGTGCAAAGGCCTGAGTTCAATCCCCGGTTCCGCAAAAAAAAAAAAAAAAAAGAGTCCATGAGTCCCTAGGGCTTTTTGTATTTCTTTTGTTTTGTTTTGTGAGATGGGAGGTTATTTGCTTATTTTTCCCTAGATCCCTCAGGTGTGAAACCCCATGGGGTACCATCTGGTCAGTTCCCCTTTGGGCCACTAGGAGGATCATAAGAAGCAAGTGGACACTGCCAATTTAAATATGCAGATGCTCATCTCTGTCTTTGTAGTTTTAGTATTGAACTGTCAGTTTGCCAAGATGATCTGATTGGAGCCTGTCTCAAATGATTTGGTACTCCCTTCAGAAAGGACTTGTAATTTCTGATCTCGATGGGCAGAAAATATAAATTAGTCAAAATCCACTGTTTCTTTATACAGGACAGGTGTTTTTTAGAAAAACTAACAGGCAACTTGCATTACATTCAGCTCTCCACTTTGTGATTCATAGACATGGAGAAAAATATGAATTGTGATTCATAAAGAAAAACATGAACTGTGATTCTGATTGACTACTTCCATTAATAAAAGAACTACTTGATTAAAAATGATATACACAAGCAAAACTTCAGAGAAACCATTAGATATCAGTAAAATGGTCTCTAAATGATAAAAATTATTTTTACTGTATACATTTGGAGTTTTTCTTTTTTTTTAATTAAAGGTCTGAAAAAGAACTGTGTTTGATATGCAGATATGATAGAAGACTGCCTGAAAGCTGCTTCCTTTGCCACTTCCTGTGGAGGCCTGTCTTTTGCGGTTTCTTTCTTCTTTTGGTAAGAGGAGGCAGGATCTGATTACAGGTTTGAGGCTCTTTCTAGCTACACAGAGGAGTTAGATGGCAGAGCAGGAGGCAAGTCTTCATTAACAGGAGTGCAAAGTACAGCTAGTAGCAGTCTCTTACTGAAGGCAATAAATTACAGTTTTTGTATGTGAGTACAGTTAGAGAAGGCAGAAACTGAAAGAAAACTTAAGAGGATGACCAGATCTGTATTCCTGTCTTTAGTAAGAGAAAGACTCTCTTTTTATATCTGTTTATTCACTCTGCCTTCCAAGGAAAACGTCACAGCTTCTGAGACTAATCTATTTATTTATTTATAATTTTTTTAAAATTTTTTTTGCGGAACTGGGGATTGAACTCAGGCTCTTGGGCTTGACAGGCAAGCGCTTATTCTACTGAGCCATCTCCCTGGCCCCTATTTATTTATCTGTTTATTTATTTATTTTTATTTTTTGCGGATCCAGGGATTGAACTCAGGCCCTTGAGCTTGCCAGGGAAGCGCTTATTCCACTGAACCATCTCCCTGGCCCCTTTATTTATTATGTATTTAGTACAGGGTCTCACTACACAGATCAGACTTGTAGTAACAGCTTCTGGGACTAATACAGTCATTTACTTATTTATTTATTTATTAAGTACAGAGTCTCACTACACAGATCAGACTTGTAATGATCCTCTTGTTTTCAGCTTCCCAAGCACTGGGATTACAGGTGCGTGCCACCACACCCAGTCTACTAATCCATTTTAGATTCTATAACAATGTTTACTGCTGAGCTAACCAGGAACCTCCAGAACCTATTCCCTCCTGTATCAGCAGAGCATATGAATGTCTCTGCAGCGCTTCTTGATTAGGGAGCTTTTCTCTTTGTTCCTTCCACTGGTTCCTTTTCTCTCTGTTCCTTCCACTCTTTTTGCTACACAGAGGCAGGAATGGGGAGAGGCTCTAAAGGTGTTAAGCTTATGTGAGCAGTGTCAAACACTGAGGAGTTTAATTAGTACTCAACAACATGGATGGCATCGGACTCTTCTGGAAAGAGCCTGTTTTTAGCATTGGAAATGCACCTTGCTTTACTGCTGTGTCATCTGGAATGCCCAGCACTGTGCCTATATCATTCCATTTCCCATGGTGTTTTCTCATTTATAGATGTCTGTCTTACAGGAGTATGATGATGCTCTGTTACCTCCCTGCAAGATAACTTGTTGAAAAATAAAGTATCTAGGGCCCTCCATTGGTGCAGTTTGTAGGGCTTCACTTCTAATGGGTATGTGCCATATGCGCTCCCACATTCTTCTGTACCATTTGTATTCTTTCACAGTCTACAGTGATTATCCCTCTACGCCCCCATTACTTTGAACCTTGATTGCCTGAGTTTTGTATCCTTTTCTATATCTGTGACCATGATCAGATTATTTAATAGTATTCTGGATTCTGAAAATAGATTTAGAGTAGAATTCTCTTAAATCCTCTGAAGGAATCCTTATTAAACTTATTATCTTGACACTATGCTAAAATTTATTTGCTGCTTTCATTAGTTCAGTTACTTATAACTGGTGAGTTTTAGGTTTTTTTTCTTTTGTGGAACTGGGATTGAACTCAGGCCCTTGTACTTGCCAGGCAAGCGCTTATTCTACTGAGCCATCTCCCCAGCCCTGGTGAGTTTTATATACCTAGGAAGTCTTTTAGAAGTCTTTTCAGGCTGGGTGTAATGGTGGACACCTATAATCGCAGCACTCGTGAGGCTGAGGCAGGAGGACTATTGCGAGTTTGAGACCAGCCTAGGCTACAAAGTGAGCTCAAGGCCAGGGTGAACTGAGTTGAGGTTTTACTCCATAACTCAGAGTAAGATGAATTACCTGAATTCCCCTCTCTCAAAGAGACAAATAAATAAATGTCTTTTTATCTTTTAATTTTGTGTATTTTTTTTGGGGGGGGAATGATGTGTGCTAACAACATTCTTTTTTTTTTTTTTTTATTGTAGGTCAGCATCTTCCAAGGAGGTAATAATATATCCAGTCGTGAAACTGGGAAAGGCCAGAACTCTCAGATCAAGAAAACATGTCCCGCCGAAAACAGACAAATCCAAATAAAGTTCACTGTGAGTACTGAGCCTTGTCTTTTGGAACCTGGGAATGTTAAAGGTTTTAATAAGAGAGGAACCTGAATTAGGGTATGAGACATAAACTAATTTTTAAAGAAAGGGTTCAAAGTTTTGGATATATGGAGGCTTGGCATGGTGGTACACACCTACAATCCCAGGACTTGGGAGGCTGAGGCAGGAGGATTGCTGTGAGTTTGATGCCAGCCTGAACTACATAGTG